TACAACCGTGAAAGGAGGTGACAGAAAGAGGCGAAGCTCTCACAAGTCTCCATCTTGGAACTACACTCACGGCTATCACATCAATTATGACTAGTGTACGGCAAGTAAGTTCTCCGAATTCATCTCCTTAATTGATTATCAAGAATGGGTGCATTTGCTCCAAAATTGCTCTCACTACCCAATTTACCCTAAGCTTTTGTTTGAATTCAAAAATACTTTCAAACACAACAATGGCGTATGCACGGCTACAGTCAAAGATACTCACATTCATTTTGATGTTGCATATTTAGGGAACTTGTTTCAAGTCCCCACCTCTGGCTATAGTTCGTATCTAAAACACAAACAAATTGTGCAAATTGGGCATTATGATGAGAATAGAATAATCAAATTTATAGGTGGAAAACCGAAAAGCAAGACTTCACATCATAACATACTCACTCCTCTTCACAAATTATTGTTCAATTTCACATGGAGAGGCATTGTTCCTCGTTTGCAAAAACGAAGCACAGTATCCTTACTAGATGCAACCATCATCTTTTGTCTTGCTCGGAAAATAAAAATAAACTTTTCAAAACTGATGATTGAACATTTGGTTTTCTATGCTACTAAAACTACTATTCCGTATGGATCTCTCCTTACTGTGTTGTTTAAGTCTTTTGGGATTGATGTTGAAAGTGAGTCACCCACTTATATTAAACCTGAGAACATTCTCTCGGAGCAATCTTTGCTTCGCCTAAGCCTTAAACTTGAGAGTGGGATAATTACTTTCTTAGACTAGAGGAGGAGAGGAGAAAAATAGTGGAAAAGGGAAAACACAGGTTGTAGAGGGAGATACAAGTGAGTCAGAAGAGGAGGAAAGTGAATCTGAAAAAGAAGAAAGTAAAGAAAAACGAGAGGAAGACAAAGAGGAGGAAGAAATTTCTGAGGGGGAACCACAGGAGGCAGATTCTGAGAAAGAAGAGGAGACTCAGAGTGAGGGGGAATCTAGCTCATAAAGTGAGAGTCTTGACCTCCCTTATACAGGGGGACTCAGGAGGAGTAAGAGGAAAATTGTCAAACCTGCTACTTCTACTCTAAAGCCTGTGATTATTGAAGACATTAGTTCTTCAGATCACTCTGACCCTGATTTTACCCCTACACAAGTTCCTTTTGCTTCCGAGCCATCTTCTGTTCATGACTCTCCCCCAAAACAAGCTCAACCCTCTTCCACTCCTGTTTCACCTCCAAAACAGACTTCTCCCTCTCCTACCCCAGCTTTTCCTACATCACAGCCTACAGGCTTTGCGGCCTTCTCTGGAACAAATGCTTCTATTTTTGATATTCAACAGGTGAAAGCAGAAATGGAGCAGCTGATAAAGATGGTGTGCACAAAGCTGGAGGACATGGCAAAGCAGCTGGCTTCTCTTCAACGCCAAGTGCAGGCTGTGGCAGATGCTCAGGCAACCAGTTTTACTGGGATGGAGAACAAGGTTGATGCTGCTGAGAAGAACATAATGCACAGCACTCAGGAGATATTGGAGACGATTAACAGGGTGTCTTTTGAAGAAGTGGAGGAAGCTTCTAATGACCCCATAACCCCAGCTGATGAACCTACCTATTCCCCATAATTGCAATTTCGAACTTGTCACTTTTAATTTCTTTTGCTTTTGCTTGTTTCATTCGGATTTCAGTTTGTAACTCTTAACTTTTGCTACTCTTTCCTGCTTTTGATTTTTGTCTATGGGAACTTGGCTCGTATTTTTCATATGATTGTGTGTGTTTGCTGATAATTTAGTACCTAACTTATTTTTGCCTTGCATTATTTGAGCTCACTATTCCCTACGTAGTCTAGTGGGAGTATAGCAAAATGTTTTTTTTCAATCTTTTGATAATGCCAAAAGGGGGAAAAGACAAACTTCATGGCGGCTAAGGTGTTTACCAAGGAACTCACACATCGAAGGTACAAACTTTTGCTAAGTTCAGTCCTAGTAATATAAGTTTTTAAAGTCTTTGTTAATTTTTCTTTTGCTCATTCTTTTTAAAATAAATACTTTTTAGTATTTTTCTAAGTTCTTTAATTACTCTTTTTTGTTTTCATGTCTTGCTTTAAATTTTTGTTGCATGCCTGGATGATTTTATTTACCTAAGTTTGTCAATGTTCACCATATAAACCGTCACTTTTTCTCACCCTCATCAATCACATCAAATTAAACGCTTTTTCTTTTAACACTCCACCCTCATCAATCACATCAAATTAACTTCTCCATACACCCTCATAAAAACCGGCCTCACTCTCTCTCCTTCCTATTCACACTATTCGTCTTCTCCTTCCTTTCAACTCACCTTCATAACCATGAAAACCAATCTAAACTCAACACCGAAACCACCAAAAACCCGGAAACCTTCCTCTGCTGGCGGCTCCCCTGAACCAGTCCCACTTGCCGTCGTTCACCCTCAAGCTCCGACAAAGAGAAAGGCTACAACCGTGAAAGGAGGTGACAGAAAGAGGCGAAGCTCTCACAAGTCTCCATCTTGGAACTACACTCACGGCTATCACATCAATTATGACTAGTGTACGGCAAGTAAGTTCTCCGAATTCATCTCCTTAATTGATTATCAAGAATGGGTGCATTTGCTCCAAAATTGCTCTCACTACCCAATTTACCCTAAGCTTTTGTTTGAATTCAAAAATACTTTCAAACACAACAATGGCGTATGCACGGCTACAGTCAAAGATACTCACATTCATTTTGATGTTGCATATTTAGGGAACTTGTTTCAAGTCCCCACCTCTGGCTATAGTTCGTATCTAAAACACAAACAAATTGTGCAAATTGGGCATTATGATGAGAATAGAATAATCAAATTTATAGGTGGAAAACCGAAAAGCAAGACTTCACATCATAACATACTCACTCCTCTTCACAAATTATTGTTCAATTTCACATGGAGAGGCATTGTTCCTCGTTTGCAAAAACGAAGCACAGTATCCTTACTAGATGCAACCATCATCTTTTGTCTTGCTCGGAAAATAAAAATAAACTTTTCAAAACTGATGATTGAACATTTGGTTTTCTATGCTACTAAAACTACTATTCCGTATGGATCTCTCCTTACTGTGTTGTTTAAGTCTTTTGGGATTGATGTTGAAAGTGAGTCACCCACTTATATTAAACCTGAGAACATTCTCTCGGAGCAATCTTTGCTTCGCCTAAGCCTTAAACTTGAGAGTGGGATAATTACTTTCTTAGACTAGAGGAGGAGAGGAGAAAAATAGTGGAAAAGGGAAAACACAGGTTGTAGAGGGAGATACAAGTGAGTCAGAAGAGGAGGAAAGTGAATCTGAAAAAGAAGAAAGTAAAGAAAAACGAGAGGAAGACAAAGAGGAGGAAGAAATTTCTGAGGGGGAACCACAGGAGGCAGATTCTGAGAAAGAAGAGGAGACTCAGAGTGAGGGGGAATCTAGCTCATAAAGTGAGAGTCTTGACCTCCCTTATACAGGGGGACTCAGGAGGAGTAAGAGGAAAATTGTCAAACCTGCTACTTCTACTCTAAAGCCTGTGATTATTGAAGACATTAGTTCTTCAGATCACTCTGACCCTGATTTTACCCCTACACAAGTTCCTTTTGCTTCCGAGCCATCTTCTGTTCATGACTCTCCCCCAAAACAAGCTCAACCCTCTTCCACTCCTGTTTCACCTCCAAAACAGACTTCTCCCTCTCCTACCCCAGCTTTTCCTACATCACAGCCTACAGGCTTTGCGGCCTTCTCTGGAACAAATGCTTCTATTTTTGATATTCAACAGGTGAAAGCAGAAATGGAGCAGCTGATAAAGATGGTGTGCACAAAGCTGGAGGACATGGCAAAGCAGCTGGCTTCTCTTCAACGCCAAGTGCAGGCTGTGGCAGATGCTCAGGCAACCAGTTTTACTGGGATGGAGAACAAGGTTGATGCTGCTGAGAAGAACATAATGCACAGCACTCAGGAGATATTGGAGACGATTAACAGGGTGTCTTTTGAAGAAGTGGAGGAAGCTTCTAATGACCCCATAACCCCAGCTGATGAACCTACCTATTCCCCATAATTGCAATTTCGAACTTGTCACTTTTAATTTCTTTTGCTTTTGCTTGTTTCATTCGGATTTCAGTTTGTAACTCTTAACTTTTGCTACTCTTTCCTGCTTTTGATTTTTGTCTATGGGAACTTGGCTCGTATTTTTCATATGATTGTGTGTGTTTGCTGATAATTTAGTACCTAACTTATTTTTGCCTTGCATTATTTGAGCTCACTATTCCCTACGTAGTCTAGTGGGAGTATAGCAAAATGTTTTTTTTCAATCTTTTGATAATGCCAAAAGGGGGAAAAGACAAACTTCATGGCGGCTAAGGTGTTTACCAAGGAACTCACACATCGAAGGTACAAACTTTTGCTAAGTTCAGTCCTAGTAATATAAGTTTTTAAAGTCTTTGTTAATTTTTCTTTTGCTCATTCTTTTTAAAATAAATACTTTTTAGTATTTTTCTAAGTTCTTTAATTACTCTTTTTTGTTTTCATGTCTTGCTTTAAATTTTTGTTGCATGCCTGGATGATTTTATTTACCTAAGTTTGTCAATGTTCACCATATAAACCGTCACTTTTTCTCACCCTCATCAATCACATCAAATTAAACGCTTTTTCTTTTAACACTCCACCCTCATCAATCACATCAAATTAACTTCTCCATACACCCTCATAAAAACCGGCCTCACTCTCTCTCCTTCCTATTCACACTATTCGTCTTCTCCTTCCTTTCAACTCACCTTCATAACCATGAAAACCAATCTAAACTCAACACCGAAACCACCAAAAACCCGGAAACCTTCCTCTGCTGGCGGCTCCCCTGAACCAGTCCCACTTGCCGTCGTTCACCCTCAAGCTCCGACAAAGAGAAAGGCTACAACCGTGAAAGGAGGTGACAGAAAGAGGCGAAGCTCTCACAAGTCTCCATCTTGGAACTACACTCACGACTATCACATCAATTATGACTAGTGTACGGCAAGTAAGTTCTCCGAATTCATCTCCTTAATTGATTATCAAGAATGGGTGCATTTGCTCCAAAATTGCTCTCACTACCCAATTTACCCTAAGCTTTTGTTTGAATTCAAAAATACTTTCAAACACAACAATGGCGTATGCACGGCTACAGTCAAAGATACTCACATTCATTTTGATGTTGCATATTTAGGGAACTTGTTTCAAGTCCCCACCTCTGGCTATAGTTCGTATCTAAAACACAAACAAATTGTGCAAATTGGGCATTATGATGAGAATAGAATAATCAAATTTATAGGTGGAAAACCGAAAAGCAAGACTTCACATCATAACATACTCACTCCTCTTCACAAATTATTGTTCAATTTCACATGGAGAGGCATTGTTCCTCGTTTGCAAAAACGAAGCACAGTATCCTTACTAGATGCAACCATCATCTTTTGTCTTGCTCGGAAAATAAAAATAAACTTTTCAAAACTGATGATTGAACATTTGGTTTTCTATGCTACTAAAACTACTATTCCGTATGGATCTCTCCTTACTGTGTTGTTTAAGTCTTTTGGGATTGATGTTGAAAGTGAGTCACCCACTTATATTAAACCTGAGAACATTCTCTCGGAGCAATCTTTGCTTCGCCTAAGCCTTAAACTTGAGAGTGGGATAATTACTTTCTTAGACTAGAGGAGGAGAGGAGAAAAATAGTGGAAAAGGGAAAACACAGGTTGTAGAGGGAGATACAAGTGAGTCAGAAGAGGAGGAAAGTGAATCTGAAAAAGAAGAAAGTAAAGAAAAACGAGAGGAAGACAAAGAGGAGGAAGAAATTTCTGAGGGGGAACCACAGGAGGCAGATTCTGAGAAAGAAGAGGAGACTCAGAGTGAGGGGGAATCTAGCTCATAAAGTGAGAGTCTTGACCTCCCTTATACAGGGGGACTCAGGAGGAGTAAGAGGAAAATTGTCAAACCTGCTACTTCTACTCTAAAGCCTGTGATTATTGAAGACATTAGTTCTTCAGATCACTCTGACCCTGATTTTACCCCTACACAAGTTCCTTTTGCTTCCGAGCCATCTTCTGTTCATGACTCTCCCCAAAACAAGCTCAACCCTCTTCCACTCCTGTTTCACCTCCAAAACAGACTTCTCCCTCTCCTACCCCAGCTTTTCCTACATCACAGCCTACAGGCTTTGCGGCCTTCTCTGGAACAAATGCTTCTATTTTTGATATTCAACAGGTGAAAGCAGAAATGGAGCAGCTGATAAAGATGGTGTGCACAAAGCTGGAGGACATGGCAAAGCAGCTGGCTTCTCTTCAACGCCAAGTGCAGGCTGTGGCAGATGCTCAGGCAACCAGTTTTACTGGGATGGAGAACAAGGTTGATGCTGCTGAGAAGAACATAATGCACAGCACTCAGGAGATATTGGAGACGATTAACAGGGTGTCTTTTGAAGAAGTGGAGGAAGCTTCTAATGACCCCATAACCCCAGCTGATGAACCTACCTATTCCCCATAATTGCAATTTCGAACTTGTCACTTTTAATTTCTTTTGCTTTTGCTTGTTTCATTCGGATTTCAGTTTGTAACTCTTAACTTTTGCTACTCTTTCCTGCTTTTGATTTTTGTCTATGGGAACTTGGCTCGTATTTTTCATATGATTGTGTGTGTTTGCTGATAATTTAGTACCTAACTTATTTTTGCCTTGCATTATTTGAGCTCACTATTCCCTACGTAGTCTAGTGGGAGTATAGCAAAATGTTTTTTTTCAATCTTTTGATAATGCCAAAAGGGGGAAAAGACAAACTTCATGGCGGCTAAGGTGTTTACCAAGGAACTCACACATCGAAGGTACAAACTTTTGCTAAGTTCAGTCCTAGTAATATAAGTTTTTAAAGTCTTTGTTAATTTTTCTTTTGCTCATTCTTTTTAAAATAAATACTTTTTAGTATTTTTCTAAGTTCTTTAATTACTCTTTTTTGTTTTCATGTCTTGCTTTAAATTTTTGTTGCATGCCTGGATGATTTTATTTACCTAAGTTTGTCAATGTTTGTCATCATCAAAAAGGGGGAATTTGTTGAGCCTTTTGGTTTTGATGGACAAATTGACAAACTCGACTAATGAATGTTTTGAGTCTTTGGTGAATAAAAGGTTCAAGCAAAGTTCGTTCCGGAGTAGGAACTTGGATGCGGAGTAGCATTCTCTAAATAGCCTCATGAAAATCTCACGTTCTAGTTTTAATTGTGAGCACTCAATAATATAAAGTCGGAAAGGAACTCAATGACTTATGTTATTAAAAAGACTACTGGAATAAAAGTTAGTTTTAAAAGATAATTTCTTAAAGAAAAGATAATTTATAAAAGTTTTATTTAGTCATCTATTTTTGAATAAAGACAATTATCGAAGATAATTATCTAGTTGTTTTAATATAAATAATAAATTTATCTTTTCAAATAAAATCTTTTTAAACAAACTTTTGATAATATTTTTAAACAAATATTTGATAAAGTTAGCAAGCAGCGAAAATCTCTGATTATACGTTTTTTTATAGCTAATGTTTATCAAGTTGTTGAGATAGTGGATTAGTGAGATAAGGCTAGGAAACCTCCTTCATGATCACCATCTGTCAAGATAACTCCACAAGTTGTTAGTGGGGTGTTGGCATGTGGACGTGATTATAGTGGAGGTTAATGACTAAGCCTTCTCTATAAATACTCATGCAAACTATATCAGAAAAACATAACTCTTGAGCATAAAAATTCCAGTAGCCATCTAATAACATAAAGAGAGTTATTATCCTTCATATATTCTTAGGTATTTGTAATCACAGATTGTATTCAAGTACTTTGGGGTTTGGGATTGTGAGTTTATGTAAGGTGAGGTTAAGGAAGCTTCGCTGCTGAATGTTTCTGTGAGAGTTGGGAACAAGTTCCCAATTTGTGGAATTTGTTAACGGGTTAGAATCTTCACTTGTAAAGAGTTTGATTACATAGTGGAAATTTAGAAAAGTCTATATCTTCTCTCGTCATTATTTCATTTAGTTAAATTCCGCAAAAGTTCTTAGATTTCACCTCAAATACAATTCACCCCCCCTTTTGTATTAGTCAGTTAGACTTTCAAAGTTGTTTCTTTAATAGAAGAACCCTTCAACTACAATCATATTAAATTATCAATAGACCCCTTTATTAAAGAAGAATATAAAATTAGTGTTTACGGAGAAGTACTATCATCGTTAAAATAGTACGTAATACAGTACTAGCATAGCATTTCTTCAACATAAAAAATAGTCCTAGTTGGCAAAACTAATTACAGTATAGTAGCTGTTTGCTTATTTGCTTGTATATGATATGATGTAGGAATTTTTTTTGACAGGAAGCATGGCGTAAGAAACTAGGATCTATCAACCTTTCAATTAATATCAAAGGTTACTGGTAGCTTTTAGGGTTTACTTATTTCACTACTTGCTTAATAGTTAATACGAGTAATGTAGATAACAATAACTTTTTTTGTTGGCAATAATTACAAAGAAAAATGCTTTAGTTAAGTGTTGTAAATAAAAAATGTTTTAGGAGTGTTCGTCTATTGGATCCTCAAAGTTTGTGTATAATTATACAAAGTAATACATTAATTAATTAAGATCTTGCTAACGAACACCTCCGGGGCGTTAGATAACCCTTTAAAATAGTCTTAAAATGGTATTAATTTGAAAATGCAAGCTAAAATCACGCGTCAATCGGTGTATATAATGTTGATTCAAGTTAATATTTCTAATTTTAGTTATCTTATCCAACGTTCCCAGGACGTTCATTAGCTTTTGTCAATTAATTAATCGTCATTTAAATTTTCTCTTTCATCAATTCCACACAAAAAACTTCAATAAAAGCAAATTTACAATTTTTTTTTTCTTAACAACTCCACTCAATAACGGAACTTCTACAAGGACGAGTATGAGTACCCTATTTCCTACGTTGGATAGAAGAAGCAAGCAAATAAAGAAGCTTGAGAAGCCAAGTAAGACCGTTTTTTTTAGGTAGAAACTCACGGAGTATGAAGCGAAAGTCACGCAAAGTTTCGTACGGCATTTGGACGAAAGTTGCACCTAGCATGTGGGGTCCACTAACGTGTTCAAAACCGTACCTATCTGCGTGAATGAAAATGACTTAAATTAATTTTCAATGTACAAAGTATTTAGATACGCGCATATGCTCTTCATTCTTCCCTAGAAACTACGGCTAACAGTCTAACACATGCATACTCAGACACTTGTCTTTAATTTAATCTTAATTATAGTAATTATTATTATTTTTATCATTATTATGTCATAATTTCTTATGCTTTTGCTACACATTTAACCTTCACCAGTTTCCACCCAAAATTTCATTTATATACTCCATATTTCCACCACCACCACCACTACATGACTAACATAAATTATTATTAATCTTTCTTTTGCATTAATTCTATTTGGAATGATCATATCGACATAGTGTTGACATCCTAGAATTATAAAAATGATCATACAAGACAATTAAACAGTACTATAGTCTTAGCTCGTTCTAATTGTAGATTTTATTTTACATAATTTGGCGAATATGCTATAAAGGAGAGTAATTAAACATACAATCTACTGAATATCATAACACGATATACTAAAACTATAACTGAACAACAAAAACATGAAGAATTGTGTCTAGTCTTACACGTCACACCTCCATGTTGATGTTACGAGCCCAATACTACCATGTTCTTTTTTATTATTGAGGTAGAATAAGCCCACTTGATTTTATATGCATTAATTCTATTCATCTTATTTTTAATTTTTTTTTAACTATAATTTATAATGAATTTATTAAATATAAATAAATTTTTAATATGATATTTTTTTCCGTTATTAAAAATCTTTAATGTGAAATGATAAATTTTTAATAATTTAAATCCTAAATCATTATTCATTGTTTTAGGATATCTTTTATTTCGATAGAATCACCAACCTCGTCCACAACCAACCTACTACATCAATAGATAAATTGAACCGTGAAATGTTAGCCAAACTGAAATTGATATAAATTAAATCTTTACATTATATAAAATAAATCAATATATTTACAAATACATGAAAAATTGTTGCGATATAAAATCAAATCTATGCATTGGAATTTTTTCGTCATCTCCAAAAATAACCAAAGCCATCCATATATCAAGTATACGACATCTAATCGTATGCCATTACATAAACAAATAATCGTTAAAGTATCCTAAATAAATACAATGTAACTAATAAGTACAAATATAAATTTAAACATAAGATTTTAAAAATTACCCGGACATTGATGACCTAAAACTAACACAAAATTCGCTTGATGGGGTTTTGTACTGATACAAAATTTTATTTGTGTCGTATGATGTGTTAGATCTGCATGTAAAAAAAACATTTAGTAAATAAATTATAAACATATAATCGTTGAGTATCCCAAATTAATACAATGTAAGTAATAATTAGAAATACTAATTTAAACATAGGATTTTAAAAATTAAGCTAAAAATTACCCGGCCATTGATGACCATGCAAAAATTAACACAAAATTACTAACACAAAATTCGCTTGATGGGGTTTTATAATAGTAGGTATCACAAATTTTAATTTAATTATAATTAACGAACAATTTGTATTTCTTATCATAAATACTATCAAAATTTATCTTACAATGATAGGTATCAAACTTTATTATAAGCGTTTATCATTTAAATATTTTTTAGTATATTTTTTTTGGATTTCTTATACTCGTAGTATTGAATTAATAAATTTACCTTTTCCTATATTTTTACTTTATTTTTTTTCATTAAAATAATTTAATTCGTGGATTATAATCTACGTGGCATTAAAATTTTAGATATATTAAATCTAATTCATTACTTATATCTAGGTGGCGACATAATTTTTTAATTCAAAAATAAAATACAAATCTTTCTTCTTATTGGTCGAAATAAGTATAATTCTTACATGGCGCTCCGAATGCTCTTAAAAAATACCTACTTTATTTATATATATATATATATATATATATATATATATATATATATATATATATATATATATATATATATATATATTAAATATATTAGATTATCAGTTTATCACCAATCCCATAATAAGCATATTCACATGTTCACCTATCACGATACCCCTTTGCTTATCACCTTGCTGAGATCATGTGAACTGACAATTCTTCCCGTTATTATTAGTTTGTTTTAATTTCCTACTAGTATTACTACGTACTTCATATTATCTTTGTTTTAGCTTATTTTATTTAAGATATCATAAATTATCTCAAAATAGTGTTGGTGGACCGACTCAAATTAATTATAAATCAAACTGATAATCTGAATTTAAACGCAGTTATTGTCTACATACAGTTTTGTTTTCGGTTTGTACGGTAATTCTTCCTTCACATGCATTTCAAGATTCTCAATCACTAATCCTATTCAATTTTGTTTTAATAGATTCCATTAATTATTTAA